CACAGAGTTAGTTTGTGGATGGTATTACCATTAATAGAAAGTTCAGGCTATTTGCTCAAAAGGGTTTGATAAAGCATGCCTGTTTTAAGGCTGAAAGAAACATCCACATATTTATCTAGATTTAGCAATAAAGATCGCGAAGTCGACCATTTGAAAATGTTAGTTAGATAAACTGAAGTTGACAGAAACAATCAGGAACAGTCGAGAGACAGCCGACCACCACGTCATCAGCATACTTGCAGGCGATAAAGTTGGGAGGGATGGGAAAGTCCTTGATATACAGTGGAAAAAGAGATGGAGACAAAATTACACCCTGAAAAACTCCAGAGTTAACTTTTAGCAGGGAGGAAGATTTACCGTTACAAAAAGTGTATCACAACGAATCCGATTTTGAAGAGGCGAAGAGAATTAGTCAGTTCGAATGTACAAAGTCTAAACTGGGTAACACAGATCATAACAAAAATTAAGGTAACATTTAAAATGCTCACAACTGAAAGAGTTGTCAGCGTTGGCAAAGACAGCGAAATCGGTAGATGAGTTTGGATAAGTTTTCAGGAATGCGACTTCGCTTTCTGATGGTTCTGGATGTGGAACGGTTCATATGGTTCTGAAAATATTTACCGTAAATCTTCGGGTGCAAGAAATAGAGCAATGATCGGAGCTACCTACAGGAGCCAGATTCTCGATGAAAAAGATTTCGGGGCTATTTACAAAAATCCTGTCAAGTTGAATACCAAGCCTGGTAGGAAAATTTACAAGATTCGTTAAGTCTAAAGTTGTAAGGAAAGATATTAAAACGATTGAAATCACCAGCAGCAATGCATAAATACTGGTCTAAACCAGTTGCAAGTTGTGAAGAGAAGGAGTCGACAAATGGACGAATATCAGAGACAGGCCTTTCGGGAGCGACGTAATGGTCGCTAATGTGATATGATGACAGTGACTGATAAATCGGGGCTTGCAATAAACAAAAATACAATTTATCTTGGGAGTCTTAAATTGAAAACATTTACGAGCGTTTTTGCACCATTTCCTGTTGACGAAAGTGACTACTCCAACACTTCTGTGAATGAGATTCACATTATGGTTGCCTCGGAATATGTCAAACCCATCAAGATGCACGACGCTTTCCTCAGTCTCAGGGTGTAGCCAGCTTCCCTGGAGTAGAATAGCACTTACATTCCTTCATTCCTTTTGGTGTATTATGCCCCTGACATCATCGAGTTCTCCCATAAGCGAACAAATGTTGCATGATGTAATAGATAAAACAGTGAAATTATCAACAGAACGCCGCCTAAGCGCCACACGCCAGCCAGCATGGTGTTTTTTATGGTGTCCTTGACCAGATTTTTGCAGTCGTTTGAAGGGATTTCTCACAGAATGGGCAAAAATAAGAAACTGATGTTTCTGCGCGATAAACCGCAAGGATTTCAAAAATCTGGCGTTGTAAGATAACATTTGACCTTGAGAATATAACGAGTTGATTGAAAAGTGATGACCACGCGTTCCTCCACTGTAACTTAACGAAATATAATATTCCGCGATAACAGGGCACGGCCAAATTTAAATGACGCGCGTCGGTTCATTTCCTTCCGTTTCTATGACTGCCCCTGCATTTTCCGTCTATGTATTAATCTTCACTCAGTTTTCTCTGTTTTTATCACCGTATTATTGTTTTCTTCTTTCTTTTGACAATGGACGTATTCCCTTGGGCAGTAAAATGTTCTGCATTGTTCCTCATTGAAGAATACACTCGGGGTTTGCCTAAGACTGTGTATGGTTGAGTTACGAAGAGACGCCTGTTCGCGTTCAATTCTGCACTTAAGTAAGATAGATAGCTGGATGCATCAATTAAAGGGCGGACCCACTACGAGGACAGGTTTTCGCTGGGATCATTGGTTCACCGAACGAAATTTAGAGCCAAACGAATGTATCTCGTTTCGTTGTTTAACAGATTGCTAGGAGTTTTCATGAATAGATTAAAAGCCTCGGTGGGATTCGAACCCGTACATGGATTTCACCGATCACTATGTACATTGTAGGCTCTGCCGATTGAGCTATGGTGCCATTCTCGTAAGTTGGATCTCGTTGCATGAAAAATTCCAATTTTCGTGGTATACCTTTTACGTTTTTTTTCTTTTGATTTGTATTTTATAGTACACTGTCGCTCACCGACTTTACCTTACTTGAGCAAAATGCTTCAGGAGTTTATATTGGCTGTTATCACCATGCATGTAATGATGCCTAAATAATATTTTTCGAAGAATTTTTCAAACGGCGAACACTTTCTCGTAATTTATCTATCATAGATAGAAATTTTTACCGTAGCGCCACACAGTCTGATTGCTGGCTCCTGTTTCAGTTTTATTTTTTTCATTTTCTCTGCTCATATAAATCACAGCAAAATACGTCAATGCGGTATGAACACATGCTAGCTAAAGCGCGATCCATGCTCCAACAGACACGTTTGCAACAACAAGGTTTGGCCCCGTTCACTGAGGCGCTTCCACCTTTGGCCAATGCTCGCAAACCCCGCCCGTTGTCCAGCAGCACGTTCAGTCCCGTCTCACCGTCTGCATCCACTCCCACACCAACAACAACAGTGACTAACGAGGAGCAGAAGTTCACGGATATGTCGCCTGATTTTGCCGGTACGGGCTTTCCCTCGTCAAATCTGCGTAGTCGGCCGGTATACCAGCGATCTTCTACAAGTAAGCTCCTGTCCTATGTGACCCAAATTAGATTGGGGTTGTTTGGTGTTGTAATCGCTCCTCTTATTCTGATCTTTCCTCTCCCAATTAGCTTCACATTCATCGTCTGAACCCCCTAATTAGTCGCTCATGTGGTTTTTCGATACATTCATCTTATCTGCCATGGCAGTTTGTCAAGCGCTATGATTTGGTGGAGAAGCCCTTCGAAACGCAGTTGATCTTCATTAATAAAGAACTTCCGAGGTAAAAGTCCAATCGACTCGAACAGAGGTTGTTCGCTTGCTGAGCAAACATCAAAGACACGATTACGAAGTCAAATGAAACCCGGGTGCATGTGATTTTGACAGCAACCCTTCGTGTCAAACTGTTTTCTTTTTCAGTTCAAACAACCATTGGCCACACGCTTTCACGCGGTGGTTTCAGTTACTGTCTTAGCTGCTCATCCGAATGACGGAGGAACTTGAAGAGTAATATGTCGAAAGCTGTGTCAAGGTGAAAATATAGAGCTCATGTAAACTAACGTTGTAGAGACAATGGGTAGATTCTCGAGCTCCACTGTCTATGACACTCAGCCATTTCATTCAGTGTCTCCAACCATCTATTACGCTGATCCCGAATGTCCCTAACGCGATCCATGTTAGCAAGTCTCCTGGTCAAGGTTTTCATGCCTTCATTCCAGATCTTACTTTGTCTGACCTTGACTTCTTCCACTCACTGCTTATCTCAGCGAACATTGCACGCCGTGGTGATCTACTCAGTGACATGTGTAACGCAACCCCAAGCAACGAAATCTGCTCCAGTGAGCGATTACCTGGTTTCCCCATTCATGCAATGCGGTCTAGATAGGGGTGTTAGAACACCAATAGTGATTTGGATCAAGCGGGTTGGTAACCTGGATTTAAGTCATCGAGCAAGAACTTGCTACCGCATCGAGTTTAGCGCAGTAGGCTCCGTTGGTTAGGACACGTTTTGCGTACGTCTGCCGATCGCCTAACGCACCCCGCTTTGTTCGCTGTAGTCGCTCCGGTTTGGTAGAAATCACATGGAGGTCAACAGGTGACGTGGAGACGAAGCATAAAGAAATGCACAGAGCGATTAGTTAGAGTAGGTAACTTACGCCTTTCAGGTGTTAGTCTGAAAGATTCCACAACCGGTTGGTTGGAAACATTGTAGGATATAGTGGTGAACCAACAGCAGTGGCGTTCTAAGTGTTGTTTCTTAGCAGGCCAGAATGCTTGAAACGGTATGTATGCAGAGTTCGATTGTGTACCCTATGTGTTGACCATTGAAGTTCTCTTTCTTTCCCTTCGTCTGAAGGAGGTCTAATCCCTGTGCACCGCGCATTGTCCCGCTTCGTATGTATGAATTTGGCAGCTTCGCTGTATTTCACTATATGATGATGATGCCCCCACTGTTCAACACTCGTGGACACGATCTTTCATGCCTGGCAAATGTCTACAGCAACGCTGCGGCAAACGGATACCCACAATACAATGTATGCAATGGTTGCATATCGGTTTTCAAAGCGAAGTTTTTTTATTGTCCCTCTTTGAACCACCACTCGAAAGACTCAACATCCAACGTTAATCCAAGGAAGCTATATAATTGTCGGCCAAAAGAATCGTAGATTATGGTGCACGATCAAAGCATAAATAATGGATCTTCTCGAACCCAGATACCCAGCTGGGCGCTGGCAGAACCATTTTTCCAGATGTCAAATTTAACAGCACACAAGTTTATTGAACGTTTATTCATCGATAGCCTGGGGAATGACAGCGAGAAGAGATGGGTAGCAAAATGTAGAGAGGCGGAGAAGGTTGCGACTATTGATTACAATCTTTTCCTTCTAACTATGAAAGTGGGCGTAAGTGAGGTATATAAGAGTCTAATGGGACACTAATAGTCAGCAACGCCGTCTTGAGCGGTGGGTAGAACATTTTTAAGACAGTTTTACTGGCTCCTGACGACACCTGACCTCCCAATTCTTGCGTCTACCGGGCGAATTCTTGCGGTTGATATCAGTTCTCCGTCTGAGATGTTCGCTCCCCGGGAAGTAAGTTATCTCAAAAGGTATAAGGCCTCCAGCCCGGACTGTCTCCATCGACTTTTAAGGATGTAGGTTCAGCCTTGGTCTTAAAGTTGACTCAACTCCTGAGCTCAATATGAGAGAGGGGACAACTTCCAAGTAAATCTTGTGAGTCGGTCCCCCACGTCTGAGCTCTGACGGTGTGCCAAGCAAATCGCGGTGTAAACGGTTTAAGATCAAGGGAGATAGGTCCGTGGTTTGCTCGTGGACGGAATAGGGCTAGGTTGTTCGAGCCAAAGCAGGTGAATTTTGTTGACTAATTCTGAGTCGGATACTTGGTCAGCCAAATGCTGACCCACAAAACAGGGGATCAGTAAAAGCTGCAATCCATTGGGAGCCGGTGTTCCTCTTTGGACGGGGTTAAACGTCCATGTCCAACATCCTAGTCGCAGAACCGGACTTCTGTGAATTTGGTTTGTACGCCTCTTGGTGGATTTCTTTTCAAGCGTTTTGACCATTTACTCTACGTGTACTTCCAGTGTTGGTACACCGATCCTGTTGTAGCTCTGGACATTGGTTTTTCGTCGTCTCACTTTGTTCAGGTAATACTTCTGCTACTTTAAGGCAGTAAGTAATTGTTCGTTAGCGAGGTGATTTGAGACACTTGGTCGTATAGAATCATTTCACAGAAGGTTCAAAGGTAGGGCGATCAGTCACATCAAAAGGTGCCCACAATCGACGATACTCCTACTGTTGGATGTTTGGGTTACTTACCAATGGACACAGATTCTTCTCCCAGTAAAAAGTTTACTATTTTGCAAACTACTACTACTACTACTGAGAACCTGATTGTACTCATAGACGACATCTGGCCCAAATATTTTTCGAAATGATGTTTTGGGGGTGACGACAAAACATCCACCGAGTTACTTGGTTAGATCTGTGTTTATGAGATTGTTAACAGATGACAAATAATTCAGCACTATACATTGTCACAAGAATGATGAAGCACCATCTCTTCGTGCACTCGAAATTTACATCCCCCTTTCTGTTACCACTTGAAATCACGGAAAACGTGTTCCGCACAGTTTCGCCCTGTTGTTTTTTTAGTATAGACAGCGTTCATCAAGTGGCGTCTCATCGGTTGCGTTAGTCATATCAGGCGCAGTACGGCGCGCCGCGGCTCTCATATTTATCGGATTTTTGGGTGCGTGTTAGTTAGAAATTAGGTTGAAAATTATGGCCATCGTTCATTTGCTCTCTACCTCAGTAGACGCAAATAATCGAATCAGCTTCAGACAAACAAATATCGATCTAAAAATTTGCATCCTCATTCACGTACTTGTATTTTATCCGATCAGTGTTTCGTTCTTTTATTTAACAGATATTGGTGATACATTTGATTTTTTTTCGAAACGAGAATCCTCGTATACATTGTACGAGGGGAAGGTGATAAACAAGCGGGGAAGCACACTATCTCACCCTCAGATCTATTTAGCAGTGGAAATCGATCGATCCAACTCGCGGGATCTCTCAGTTGAAACACACGGGTAATTTTCACCAAGTCGCTGGTCAGACAGCTTCCTTTGTTCGTTGTCGATTCAGTATAGCGCATTGTCGGAAGGATCGGTGCAGCTCATTCACCAAGATACTTGAGCAATACGGGGCTTGGTCGGAATGCGTTTGCCATTTGTAGTTGAGACTTAACACAGTTTAACCTTCTAAGCCTCACCACATGCGGCTTGCTTCCCAAACTTAAACAACAGACAGTTGTTTTATTTCTTGTGATTTGTACCATTTCTGTATTTGTTGGTTAATGATACCAATCTGAACACTGGTTATGCGTCTACCGGCTATGGAGTTAGTTTTCATCGTGGCGTATTGACTACTGCCGTTAAAGTGCCCGGTTTCCTCTGTCCCTTTTTATTCCACGTTGTTTGATCTGAATGGCCATCTGTACCGTTGACGTACCTCAACTACTGCTCTTTGGGGTTGACAACTTAGCTGAATGTGTATTAATTTTCTGAAAAGTTTTCTTGGGGTCTTTAATCGTTAGTGTTTTGCCTAGTATAGTCTTCTTTTGATATTTCGTGTTCTCCGTGTTGCAGTCTGTACTTTGAACCAACTGTCTATCACACCCAGTTTAGTTAAAAATTGAAAACGTGAGATGCCAACACTGTATTTCATCAGTTGACTAGTCGTTAACACAATTGCACACATTTTGGTGTCTTTTGAATATTTGGTCTCCGGATGACGCTTCGCCCAATTGAACCAAAATTTGTTATGTGAAAAAATGGGTTCTGCAAAAGAAAAGCTGGGAGTTACGTGTCTGCCCAATTAAATTGACTTTTCACTCCCCGTGCTCTCACTGTCTCGAAACTTGAGGAGCTCATTCCCAGTTTGCACCGGGGTACAGAGCCAAGATAAATTGGACTGATATCTTTCTTCCAATACAATTTCACCCCTTAAAAGCTTTCCTACTTTCTTGCTTCGCATTTCGCGTTGCTCTGTGCACAGAAAACACTTGACGTAAAACTGCGTCCGTTTCGTGTCTGTGCTATCATTTTTTTGGTCAATATTTCAAACCCTTTTCGAAAACCGTAATAACAATATGCACATCTCGTCCAATCTTCTTGGTTTGAGTATAGTTATACAAAAAACAGGATTTGACAGCGAGAAAACAAATAGCCTCCACATCCCGTTTGTGACATTCATCCTCGTTCAGCACAAGAAGGGTATTTTATCAGTTGCCTATGGTCTAGTGGTTTAACTCGCTAGTATGGAAATACTCTGAGCTGCAAGTTCCACAGATCGAACCCCGTCACAGCCTATCGGCTGATGAAGAACATGCCTGTTGTTACCTGGCTCAGTACAGCGACTATCCCGTCCGCGAGTTGTGATTTAACCCAGAATAAGGTTTTTAATTGTCTTAACTCAGTTGTATACCCTCGTGCTTGTGGTAATCACCTTATCC